TTGTTGATTTTGATTTTTACTTTATTATAATTAGTCTTTTTCCTGGTGCCTTATTTAGGTTTTCTAAATTCCTGCTATGAGTAAGACCATCTGGTATTTTTCTTTTTCTTTCTGGCTTATTTCGCTGAGCATGATCCCTTCCAGCTCCATCCATGTTGCTGCAAATTGCATGGGTTTGTCTTTTTTGATTGCTGAGTAATATTCCATTGTGTATGGGGACTATAACCAAGATGAAAATGCATACATTGTGCAAAAATGAAAAATGATGTAAAAATATATAAAATTTAAAAAAACTAATAATAAAAAACAAACATTAAAAAATAAAAAAATGAGTTTATAGGAAATATATATCCATTGACTGCTATGGATTCAATCTGCAGGAAAAAAAAAAGCTCCTGTAGCATAAATTAATTTGCCTTCCTATATTACCTCAACATCATGAATTTTTTTAAATAAATACACCCAGCCCATAGTTCTCTGATTATCCTCTTTATGCATGCTTGTCATGTCACAAATGACCTTACTGCTCTTTGTCTACTTGTTCCTCAAAGTACAACTCAAATGTAACCATCTCTTGGCATTTTTCTTCTTACATCCTCATCGCTTGATCTAGTTAATTGTTTTTTCCCCACTTTCTCTACCCCCAACGTCCTTCCCCAAACCCAGTGCTCTCTGTCTTTTCTTGTTATTATAAAAATCACTCTGCTATATTTGTTTTCATTAAAGTATTACTTCAAGGTCACCACCATATGTCATGAATGAGATTTTGTTTGTCTTGACACTCCTGTCTCATAATCTGGTAGTTAGCCAATACATTTTGAAGGAAAAAGTCGGTGCATCATATCCTTATAGAAGAATGCATGCGTAGATGCAGTCATTTGCCAGCCTTCATTTGGGGGATATGTTTTAGTAGCTGAGTTAAAACTGTAGGATCTGAATTCTGAAAACATTTTTCAAAATCAGTGATCTATAAAAAAGATTTTTGAAACTTGAAAAATCAAGTTCAGGAAAGACTGCTGTTAAAATAGAGATGATAATTTAAATGAGGTAGATGAGAGAGAGAGAGAGAGAGAGAGAGAGAGAGAGAGAGGTCCTAATATGGTTAAAACTATAAAATATGGGGAGAGAAGGGAGTAGGATCAAAACAAGGGTGGTGGGAATCATATGGGGACTATAACCAAGATGAAAATGCATATATTGTGCAAAAATAATACAAGAATATATAAAATAAAAAACTGTAAAATATGTTTTCTTCCTTTCATTTGATGATTCATTTCATCTTTTAAATTGTGTGTTGTCCATTATTACATTTTGAAAATTACATAAAGACAGACTCCATAGAACATATGGAGCTTTAAGTTTTTTCTTACTGTTTATCTAAAGTAATTTAAATTCTTTCTGGTTCAAAACAGTGCAAATGAATTAATAATCTGAATATGTGGCTCTTATCAAAGACTGATTTTGACTAAATTGTTTTTAATAATGAGATACATGTGAATGACTCAACACTTCCTAGTTTATTGCTACTTTTTTCACATGTTTATTAAGAAATAATGAACTATGTATAGAGCTTTAATCTTTTTTTCATAGTTATAATTTTTCTACACTATTTCAGATGATAGAGACAGTTCTTAAGTTTTTTTTCATGATATAAATATCTGGTGGTTTTCATCTCCTGAAAAACTGACACTGCAGTGTTTTAAGAGTTGTTACTAAAGTAATTTTCTAACTTTGATTTAAACTATCATTCCTATTAGAAAACATGGAACAAAAATCAATGTATCTGCTGATTCAGTGGAACTGTGTAGAAATAACAAGTAGATTGCAAGAAGCAAGTAATCTAAAACTGCAATGCAACATAAAACACTTTCTGTTCAAATAGATACATAAATCTGGGTTCTCTACTGTTAGACTGAGTCTTCTTTATCTATAGTTATAGAAGAAAATTTCACTTAGATTTATCCCTTCTGTCCCCTGGATATGTTGGTTATGTTGAGTTAGGTGGCAGTATAATAAACACCGGGAAAAAAAAAAAGGCACTACAAATCTAAGTGATTTTTTTTTTTTTTAATATATGCTTCTGCTGTTTCTATGCTGGCATTCTTATAAGGATGACTAATTGGCTAAACGTTTGAGGCTACCCCCCATTTACGCCACTGTTTACTCTGCCTGAATGTACTTCTTTGTGAAGTACTGAAAAAATTCCTAGGAAAGGCTTTTACTCAAGGTTGATATAGTTTGAATTATTTAGATTTCAGATTTCAGGCTTGCTGCCATATACACCAGATTCTAAACAAACAAATAAACAATAGTTAATTATAAAGTTTTTTTCTTAGTCTTAGTTTTCTAGCATAAGCAATTATTTGAAGTGGAAACAGATGAATAGAAATGTCATGAAATAAACAAGCTGTTTTCTCCTCAACTAGAGTGGCCTTGGTATGAAAATGTCCTTGTGAAAACTTCAAGCTCTACTGTCTACTCTCTTTTATTTTCTCCTTTCTTTTTATAGTTTTTTTTTTCCAGTTTCTTTTTTTAATGATTTATTTATTTATTTATTTATTTATTTATTTATTTATTTATTTATTTATTTATATAAGCACTGGGTACAGTCAGAAGTGCGGAAGGGTGAAAGAGCCAACGCGGGGAACAGAAAAGGCAGACTGACGAGAAATACACTGCTGAGGGGAGCAGCGGGCGGTAGGAGAGGTCTGCGCGCCATGTGGGACCCTCCCCGGAGGCCAGGGATAGAACCAGCGCTGCAGAGGCTGCGGGCAGCTTCGCAGCCCAGCGCTCAACTGCTGCGCCACCAGGGGAGGCCCCTCGTTAGTTTCTTTTCCAGTAGAATCACCTAGGCCTATGTCACCTAGCCTGTCATTTTGCTGGTCTCCCAACCAGACCTCTTGCTTTATTGACTAATTATTGACTGCTGCTCCCCACTCCCTTCCCCATTGTGCTTACCACATTCATTAGGAGGTTTAAGCTTCCAAAATATTTGCTTTATATCTATAACTCCTCAGCTTAGAAGAAATCAGATTAAAATCCTAAGGTTCGCTTCTTGGGACTTCCTCACACTGGGTCCAAATCTATCTTTTGTTGTCAGTGATATTGTTGTGCAAGCATGCACAGGGTAGGCCAGTTCACTGTCAATTGGGGCAACAGATAAAGAGAATTTGGGATTTTACAAGCCTTTAATGTTGGAACAGGGAACCAGGTACAACAGGCACACCAGGCAGGGGAGCTCACATGCAAGGAGGCAGGCACTGTCCGGGCAGAGGGGTTGGGAGGCAGGCAGGCACCCAAGCCTACCAGCACCCCATGAATCTTTACACTCTCTCTACTCACTCTCTGGCGTTCTTAGTCTTGTACCCTCTTGTGGTCTCTCCTCAGTGTGGTCCTCATTGTCCCGCCTCAGAGTAATGGCACCCTTTTATCCCTTGCTTCCAGGCCCAGGTGTGCACATTGACACATGAACACACGATGACTCCTGGGCCCAGGTGTCCATAATCATAGGCCCACACACTCCATGCCCAGGTCCCCCAAACTAGGGCAGCCATGGAACCCAGAGGAAGGCCTGACCGGAAGTGGCGGTCATAGAGGCTTGTGGCCTCTGTGATAACTCCAATAACCCACAGACATTTACACAATTAGGCTTCTCCATACCTGCTATATTGTACACTTTACCCTAGATGTATTCTTGCTTCTTTTACAATGCTTATTCAACTATTTGCTTGAAAAGTATTCATTTCTCCACTTATCTAATGTTGTCCTTTCCTCAAAGCCTCCATGGTATTCACTGTCAGCATAAAATGTTTCACAGGTAGGGCCTCCCCTGGTGGCGCAGGCGGTTGAGCACAGCACTATGAAGCTGTCCGCAGCCTCTGCAGCGCCAGTTCAATTCCGGCCAGCTAGCGAAGGTCCCACATGGTGAAGCAGACCTTTCCTGTCGCTCCCGTTGCTCCCCTCAGCAGTGTATTTCATCAGTCTGCCTGTTCTGCTCCCTGCTCTGTCTCTGGTGAATCCTCTCATGCTCCCGCGCATCTGGCCTGTACCCCGATTCTTGTATAAATAAACAAACAAATAAATAAATAAATCTTTTTTTAAAAAAATGTTTCACAGTTACCATAACACAAAGTGGCCCCTCTCTCCTGAAGTCCTATCACTCACATTTAGGATACAAACTGCAATTTAAATGTTCCTTCACTGATCTGATACCTTTATTATTGAACTTACCACAGTCATAGAACATTGTTGTTTTAGTATTGCTGTTGTTTTCACATCATTGTGTTTCATATTTTCCATGAGACTATGGATTTCTTGATGTTTGAAAGATAGATACTTTTTGTCTCAGTATCTTTAGTGCCTACTAGGAGAACCTGATAGATACTTATTTTTCTAAGTGATCTAAATAGAATCAACCACTTTCATATATTTCATCATATCGTTAGTTAGATTTCTGTATAATACCCATCTCTTCAATTATTCAATGTCTTCAACCATTCAACTCTTAAATTCTAGAATATAAAGCCTTTGAGAAAAGGATTCATATTTTATTGTATGCCTTCTGGTATCTCTGCACCTATTAAAATGTCTTAGAGATATTGCAAGAACAAGCCATGCTTGTCAAAGGAAACAGATGTTTGCATAAAGGGGCTATTCTCTTCTATTTCTGTTGATTAAAAACCAAATTGGAAAATTATGTTTTTCCTAAAAAATATAATAAAATCATTAAAAGTCTATTTTCCTTTGCAATCCTATGGATTATGGAATGACAATAGATACCATATTGAATATTTCTACTGATAAGTTCATTTCTATCCCCACATTTGATGGAGTTTTATTTTTCTCTTCCTGTTGTGTTCTGAGAAATGCCTAAAAAGAAATTTAAAACTGTAGCCTTTGTCTGGCACTGAGCAATCCACCTAATACCAGATTTTTGCTTTTATATCATTTTCTTTGTCAGTGGGTGATATTTACATCCTTTCTCTCCTTTTAAATTATAGCTCCTCCACAATTTGTGGTTAGGCCAAGAGATCAGATTGTTGCTCAAGGTCGAACAGTGACATTTCCTTGTGAAACTAAAGGAAACCCACAGCCAGCTGTGTTTTGGCAGAAAGAAGGTAGCCAGGTGAGTGTATGACTTGCCTATTTTTCCTGAAATTTCTGAACTCTCCTGTCCTATGTGCACCTCAAAACTCATCTTGTCTTTTTTGTTAAACATATTGAATGCATTTTATGTCTGAAAGGCAGGTCAATGAAATATTAAATAGTGGAAGTCAGATGTTCTAAGATAACATTCTTTATTACCTAATATTAGTTTTCTGCATTTCTATATCTTGTGTAGAATAGATCTGATACAGTATAAAGACATTATGTCTAAACAAAACTTCTTTAGTTTCTCAAAATTGCTGAACAGAAAAGAAATGTTGCTTTCCTGCTTTAAGCAGAGAAGATTAAGAGAGTTGGTACATATGAAATGCATAAATATTTCCAAGCACATACAGAACAGTCAAAAAATATTTCACTAGTAATTGGTCTAAAAATCATTTTCTTTCACCTCTGATAAATAGATCATATAAATAACTCTTCCCTATCATTTAAGCTTATCTATAATTTAAGCATTTTATTAAACATAATTCCCTTTTTTTGCTTTTGTTTAATGCTTATTAAGCTTTCGCCAGTTTACAATACTGTTTGCTGCTATTTGGAAGTAGATAAAATATTTTCTTCCATAATTCCTTCATAGTAGGAATAGATGGAAACTAATACTTTGTGTAAGAACTGACCCTGGTCCGGTCTTTGCTGTGCCCTGCCTGTCCTCTGGGGACCCTCTTTGCAACATGACCTCTCTGACTCTTTCCTAAAAGTTAATTGGATACATACTTTTCTCATTTAGAACTTGTCCAAACTTGGAAAAGCGAAGCCTCTGGTTTTTGAGACAATGAGAAGAATTTACAGCTCAAACAAAATCAGAAAGTTGTTCTTTGTCTGAGAATGTATCCGCACATGCCTGAGGGAGCTAGAGAAATTTTTGTTCTAGACTCTCCAAACCATCCCCAAGAAAGCATTTAATTTGCAAGGAGAGATTGCTGGTGCTGTTCCTCAGCTTAACTCTCTATTGTTTATCTAAATCTTGCAAGAATTTCCTGGGGAATAATGGAAATAGTGATTAAAGTCTCTGGACATCTAAATTTTTTGCCAGAGATAGGAAAAAATTTAGGCTGTATTGAGAGAAACTGTATATTAAACCCATTCTTGATTTCATAGGTAGAGAGACATCAGAAAAATTCCTCTCAGTCACCATCTGAGATGGTTGTGGGTTCCTATATATTCCTATACCACCCTAACCTAGCAATTTTAATAGCTCAGTATGTAAGGACAAATGATCTTTCTTCCTTTCCTCAATTCTCCTTGTTGTATTCACTTACCCTATAGTTTGTGAGTGTAAAAACAGTCCCTTATCCCACATCAGAATTGTTCCAGCTCCCAAGTCTCTTTTTTTTAAATCATTCAGTAACTATAAAATATGTTTATAAACATATATGTCCTTGACTCCTCACTTAAAAATTGCTTTTGAATAAAAACCTCCCAAACTCTAAAATAATGACCATAAAGCAACACAGGACTTAATTAAGCACATACTACAAACATCCTGAAAAATTGGAAATCCATTTTCACTCCATATGACTTGGGCAAATTTTGTACTGCTATTTAGCTTTACCTAAGCTCATTTCCTTAATCTAAAATAGGGAAAACTTTCGCTTCACATAAGTTATGAAAATTCATGATTGGTTAGTCTATGCAGGTTAAACAATGTTATTTTCACTGATCTAAAGCAATTTGATCATTGTAAGTTTGTACTTTAAGTCCTATATTAAGTTAAATTCTGTCATAACCTGCTTGTTATTATCTAGATAGAGCTCTAGTATATGTAAATCATATGCCCTGAAATAACTCCAGATTGATAAAAGATATTGCATTAAATGTGCATTGATCCCATGAGCCAATAGACATGGTGTTTGCATATCCTAGAATGTGTTTGGATAGTATTGAAAGAAGAAATGATCAAATAGCATTAAATATTTTTCTGTTATTTGACAAAATGGCATGCAATTCCAGAGATATTTATATTATGGGTTATGGGTTACACACAATTTACAGTTAGGTAATTTGATTTTATTATAATCTTAGATCTGGTTGTCCTCACTTACCTCCCGAGAGAGAGAGAGAGAGAGAGAGAGAGAGAGAGAAAGAGAGAGATTGTAAATGAGACTCAATGAAAAGTATTTGAGCAAACTGTAAATTTTAAAAGCTTGAATTGGCATATTAGGAAAAATAAATTGACCTACTGTCTCCAGTATCCAATTTTTGTGGTGATCTATGACTATCCATCAGAAGAAAGAGTTAAGAGCCTGGACTTAATGGTCCATATTCCTCAATATGTGCTGATAATGCCAATTAGCACTAATAGGTTACCTAGGCACTTCAAGGCAAGAAGAGCTATCTAGAGTTCCTGATTTTTGCTTGTAATCCATTTTCTTTTGCCTATGTCATACGGGCAGGGTATAAAGATGATGGGTTAACCTCAATCATATGCCATTTTCCATGTCAACGAATCATTTTAGAAGGCATAGTGATATTACATTGTAGAGAAAGAGATCCCAGAGAGAATTAAGCCCATCTGATGTATTAGTGCTATGTAAATTAGTATTCTAATGGCTAATTGTAGGAAAGTGCACAGTTTGAGTTATTGTATCATTTTCAAGTGGCTTTAAAATTTAGACCCTTCTCTTTTAGATGGTTTATTTCAGTAATATATTTGGATTTCACAGGAGAATTAACTTGTTCTCAAATCATGTTTCATATGCATGAAAATGTCTAGCCTTATATAGTAATACAAATTTTATAAGAGGGCAATAGCATTTTGAAATTATATTCCTGACATGCTAGCAAACATCACTTCTTTTAGAAAGGGTTTAATAACATGGTAATGTTTATGTAAAGTGGGCTTATAGCGTCACACTTGAATCTAATAAAGTGGACATCCATCATGTTGCAATAAAGAGAAAAGCTTCTAATTAAAGTAGGACATCATTCGCAGGATTAAAGTCATTTAGCGTAATTGAAAAGTGTTAATACCCTATTTTATCCTCTACCATTGGTATTACTTCAAGGGTAAAAACATTTTAAGGTGAAAATGTGTCCTATGCCTTTAATTGAATGTTATTACCTCCTGATTGTAACGTATTGAAACTGTTTAATTACAAACATGGAAAATTAATTACTATATCGAGAAACAGATCCCAGAGGGTTATAATGTTCTTTTTTGTAAGTAAATACAACATAAAAATTGATATGTCCTTATTTATAATCTAACTTGGTAACATATCTCAATATGATTTATTATACCCAAATGTTTTTCTTAATTGAACAACAGTAAAGCAATATAGGTCACCCTAGATAATATTACTGCTCTCATATAAGAAGTTAAAAAAGTGGATAGAGAGTAAAATAAAATAATTTTTCTTAAAAAAGAATATTATGATTTTTTAAGATTATGTGCGCACTTCTGAAACCTTTTTATTTTCCCCATCTTTTGCCTGTGTCATAAAAACCATCTTTTTATTTTCACTGATTTGCTTTATCTGAGACTGTGGCAATTCATAGCTTCTTTCAAAGCTGTTAGGACCTTGGCCTTCCTGGAGGCACAAGGAGTTAAGACACAACCTATGAAGCAATCCACAGCCACTGCAGCACAAGTTCTATCCCCGGCCAGGGAGCTACCCACATGGCACAGCAGACCTCTTCTGACTCACCCGCTCCTCCCCTCAGCAGTGTATTTCAGTCAATCTGCCTGTTCTGTTCCCCACTCTGTCTCTGGTGAATCCTCTCACTCTCCACACCTCTGGCCTATACCCCAGTTCCTGTATGCATAAATAAATAAAATCTTAAAAACAAAAAAGCTGTTAGCACCGCCAGAAGCCTTAAGGCAAAAGTACGTTCAACGGACTGTGTATCAGTCTCAACCACATACTTTTAAACATCTTTAGGTAAAATGAAGTTATATCCACCCACTAGTCAAAATGATTAGCATAATGTGTATTTTGCATTCTTAGTTTTGTGCAGTTTATAAAATACATACATAGTTAGTGTTACATTCCAGAGTCTCGCAAGGTATGATAGACCTCACAAGGTCTATGTCAGATAAATGTTATTAGGCACGCTTTACATATGAGGAAACCATGTTTCAAAGATAATAAGTAACTAGCAAAAGTCAAGGAGAAGCTAAATGGTTAAGATAAAGTTCCAGATTTATTATATGATTGCTTCCTTCAACAAGAACATGCTGAATTCTTAGAACATATTATTTTCCCATGATTTGGAAAATGTTTTCCAGTGAAACTCCCTGTGTGGCATTTAATCATTTCAACACCACATTTTATTTGGTCTATGTGTTTTCTTTTTTCCAGCCATATTCTCATAATTATAATAGCTATTGTTAATGTAATTTTCCTTCTGAGTGGGAAAAGAATATTGATTACATTGTCTTTGTTTTCACAGAACCTGCTTTTTCCAAATCAACCCCAGCAGCCCAATAGTAGGTGTTCTGTGTCACCAACTGGAGACCTCACCATCACCAACATTCAGCGTTCAGACGGCGGGTACTATATCTGCCAGGCCCTGACTGTGGCAGGAAGCATTTTAGCAAAAGCTCAACTGGAAGTTACTGATGGTGCGATATTATCATTAGATTTTACTTATGGGAATTATAGTTTTTCTTTTGAGATTTATGTTAAATGTGGAATTTTTTTTAATTTATTAGTTAATTCACTTAAGTTAATGCTTATTTTCTAAGTTTGAAATTAGGTAAAATAGCATTTTGAATAGTTTTTAATTCTCCCTAGTTTAATAATATTTATTTCCCAAGGAAGAACATTCAAGACAATCTATTTTATTCTTAAAAATATAGTGATGTGATATTACAGTATCTCAGAAACAGCATAAATGTGTGATTTGTATATTTTTATTTAGTTATATGCTGGCATTGCTTGTCATGGATATTAATTTTATTTTACTAGAGAAGAAAGAGATATCATCTTTGATGTTGTCAGTAGAAAAAGAATTCAGTTTTTAGTTAGCTAATCATGTTGTGATATCCTATGACTTTTTAGTTGTACATTCACTGAGTTAATTAAATACCTCCCAAACGATTGATGAATGCTAAATTATTTTTTGTTTTCACATATAAACTGTAAATCTTAACTCAGACATCTACATTCATAGTGAAAGTTGAAAAAAGATGCAGGGCGCTTTACAGTCTGATATATCCCAATATGATTTATCCCACGAGCTCATTTATCACAATTGACAGAGAGTTTTAGATATTTTGTGAACCTCTGAGCATGGATGTCAAAATCTCTGGTCTTTCATGTCTTAAATTGAAGTGTCTCATCCTCTCCTCTATTTATAAGGTTTTAGGGTTCCCCCTCCCTTAATGCTGACTTATGAGATAAAAATACTTTGACCTATGACCTCTCTGATTTTCTTCTTCCTTTACTGGTGAAATTTTATGCTCTTTTATATAATTCTAATTCTCATGTAGTTGAAAAGATCATTTAAAATTAATAGAAAGGCAGTATTTTTTTAATGGCTGTACATGGCATTGCCTGATTCAGCACCATGTGAGGCAAGAGAATAAATAGAACCGACAAACATTGACTGTGGGTGCATCGAGTCATTAGTGGCTGCACCTGCTGATGCTCAGAAACTTACTGCTAGGGAACTGGAAAGAGAAGGGAAATTCTTCTTTTAGATGGGTCAGATCATTATGCCTCCATGTTTCTTTGAAAGAATAAGAAATATTTTTAATCTTTTTAAATTCCTTATAGTCTCTGCTATCAGCAGAAATGTTCAAGAACATGCACTTAGAAGACAAAATATTTGGGCCAAAGTCTAAATTTTGTCATATGCTGCTAGAAAACAGTATAAATATAATGCTGTGGTCTCTACTAATCTATATAATAATATTTTACAAAATATAGACTTTAAATTAAATATTATGGTGGGAAAGCAAACCATATTTGCAGAAAACAAAATTGATAATTAGAAAAGCCAGTTGATATACTGATTTCATAGAACAGATGGATATTCAGAAAAACATTTGATTTAATGAAAACGAAAACTTAATGTTTTAACAACTCATGTTAGTTGATGTTATAACCTCGCAAAATTAGTTATTCTACCTTCAGTTCTAATGACAAAATTATTTTTTTTAACTTTTTTTTTTTATAGAGGCATGTTTTTATTTATTTATTATTTATTTGTTTGTTTGTTTTCGTTTATACATGCACTGGGTACAGTCAGAAGCACGGGAGGGTGAGAGAATTCACCAGAGCCAGAGCGGGGAGCAGAGCAGGCAGAAGGACCGAAGTACACTGCTGAGGGGAGCAGCGGGCGGCAGGAGAGGTCTGCTCGCCATGTGGGACCCTCCTCTGGTGGCCGGGGAGCAGCCGGGGATCAAACCGGCGCCGCAGAGGCCGCGGGCAGCTTCGCAACCCAGCGCTCAACCGCTGCGCCACCGGGGAGGCCCTCTAATGACAAAATTAAACGAGTGATAACAAGTTCCAATCTCATCACTGAAATGGCTTTGAAAATTTGTCACAACTGGCTTGAATATTAATTCTTACATTGATTTTTTACTTAAGTAAGCAATCACTAAGTCAAGATCCTTTTGCAAAAACATTGAATGAAAGTTTTAGACTTACTGATTTTGAAAATAAAGTAACCTGATTTTAAGACCTAACCACACACACACGCACCCACACACACACACACACAAACATGCACAAGCACAGTGTTATTATAAAAAAAAAAAAACCTCTGTCTCCTAATATTAACTTGCCATGTAGATTGATGACTCAGACTTTATTCATAGGTTATGAATGCTCAGATTGGTTAATAATTTAATACTATATGAGCTATCATTTTCAATTTGAACATTTTTCTAATATGATCAACGGTAATTTAGACACAAATAAGAGTTCAGTATAGAATGAAAGCATATGTCATGTTCAGAGAAACCAACAGAGTATACATAGCAATGTTTCTGTTATATTTTTGCACTTAGATGCCTTTTTGGAAATATTTTTAACTCAAGTGCTAATGGTGATGCAAGGTGCTGTTTAGTGATTTTACTGATAATACATTGAGCTAAGATGCTACAATATGCTGGAGTTTTAAAATACCTCTTTAAGAGCTTCTCATTAATTCTTTGTCTTGTTCCTCATTTATTCCTTTCTTCTGCTCTTTTTCCCTCTAAAAATTGTAATGAGAATTCCATGAGTAGAACCATTAGAATCCAAAAGAACTTCTGAGAATAAATGCATTTTTATCTTATGTTGACAATGAATGTCACACCATGGTCTTATATGAATGGTTTATTGAGGATTTATAATGTGTAGTTTGAGAAAACCATGCAATTGTTCACAGATCACTGGAAATCCTAAATGTTTACTTAACCTTTGACCTCACTGTCATGGAAACTTGTGGTCATCTTTCACCCATAACATACTTGAGACTGAAAATTCCCTCTACCCAGGAGATTTTCAATTACTTTATTGATCAAATGCATTTAAAAGACGATGAACAACTCATTTGGACAGTAAAAAAAAAAAAAAAAGAAACTAATTAGATGTGCTTTGGCTATATCTAACAATTTCAGGAATATAAAAGTAAAAGTAGGATATAAGATATTACCTGAAATTCAAAGATTTAACTTGAAATAAGGAAGATTTTTTTTTTTAAATTGATGAAGAGCCTCTACTCTGGTAATGGAGATCCACTTCTTTCACTGAATTGAAAAACCAATCACAATGGTCTGTGAATTGACCTCCCATTTTTTTCATGAATAAAATTAATTCTATTAAACTTTCAGTTTGAATATATTTGGACAATTACCACCAGCTATGTCAGAATTGGTATAATACAGTATTTTCACATGCACTGAAGGATTTTTGATTTATTTCTAAAATAAAGAACTGAATCAAGAAAACTGGTAAAATTAATGGTCTTAATTTTTGTACAACACACAAACAATGTTTTATTTCTATACTTAGGTTTATAAAGTCATACATACATAAACATACATTAATTCATAGTTTGATGTGGTTGGTTGAGGTTGTTGCAAGTTCACGGTATCTGGGCATGCTGAAAATGTATATCATAACTTCCGTTATAAATTTGAATTGGTTGAACTTCTCATGGTAGGCACTAATGGACTGCTTAATATTTTTCCCCAAAACACTGTGAACTCTAGTAACAAAGATGGTGGATATGGATTGGGAAATTTATACATTTATGAGTAAATTATATACTATAGTTTGACTTCAATATTCTGTGTATCAATATATGTATAATATGTATAGATGATAGATGGTAGATATATGATGGATATAAAATATGCAAAGTACTGGAGCTTTCACCTGATTTTTAATATCTGGATACCAAGACTACTGAATTTCATAAGAGTTAAAGTATTCTGAAAATATCTTTATCTTTTAGTTTTGACAGACAGACCTCCACCCATAATTCTACAAGGCCCAGCCAACCAAACATTAGCAGTAGATGGCACCGCATTACTGAAATGTAAAGCTACTGGAGATCCTGTTCCTTTAATTAGCTGGCTGAAGGAGGGATTTACTTTTCTGGGTAGAGATCCAAGAGCAACTATACAAGATCAAGGAACATTGCAGATAAAGAATTTACGGGTAAGTAATGTTGGACTTGTATTCATATCTTCTTCATTCAAATTAAACACTGCTCTATGGAAATACTGTGAATTTAAAATATTGTATCTCAGCGTACTGCTGTACATTTTACTATATGCCAGATTATTTCTTATTTTACAGATTATGAATTGAAATTAGGGGATATCATCATTCTATACTACTCCTAAGTTCATAACAGGTCCAGATCTTGAAACTTTTTAACTTTTTAACCCATATAGGTTAAAAATTAACTGAAATTAAAAATCTTAAATACATAAAAATGATGGTAAGAGGTATTTAAAATAATTTGAAAGTGACAAATCTTCTGATTTATTCTCATGAGCAAAGTAAATCTGTAAGGAAATACAAATATATATTGGCTTGGGCAAATAATTGAGCGGAAAAAAATTAAGAAATGAGATTGAGTACATAAAGGGAGGTTTGGCTAATTGGTAGAACCCTTGATGTTTTAGGTTATGTTTCTGTGATGTGTAGAATTCAACCTGCAGACTAGAACAAATCATTGCTTGTCTTTTAACAGAGGGTATCATGATAGGAATAACTATTCCTGGCAACTTAACAAGTCTGACTTGCTTAAGGAGCAACTCCAAATAAAATCTACTTATAAATTTGTATTATCTATCTACTACTGTGTATAACAGCAAAAACTTAAGGACTTAAAATACATTTTATTACTTCACAGTTCTTGTGAATAGTAACCTGGGAATGACTTAGTTGTGTCTTCTTCATAATCCACAGCATTATCATCAGGTGTCAGAATTGTGGTTTCATCTGCAGATTGATTGTGGATAGGTTTGCTTCCAAGTAGTGTTATTAACAGCTTTCACTTCCTGTGTCTGTCAGGCTGACTGACCTCAGCTTCTTGCTGACGGCTGCCTTGAGTTCTTTATCACTTGGCTACTTGCTTCCTCAAAGCCAACAAAGAAGAGAGTCTGCTTGTCATAGAGGCATTAAAACCCTATTTAATATAATCACAAACTTAACATTCTGTCTCCCTTGCCATGTTCTATTGGTGAGAAGCAAGTCATTGTTCCCACATACACTCAAAGTAAGAGATTGTACAAGGGCTGAATACTAGTAAGATGTTATCATGGGGACTCCCTGCCCTCCATCAGTTTTCACTTTATTATATCGAATATTGTGATTGTGAGCCTCCCCTTCATGTAGCAAACACTATGCTAAAGCCTGAGATTATTCTAGCAGTCACAACACTGGGCATGAGAGTCAGAATTAAGAAAGTTGATGTGTTAGTGCCTGAAGAAAAATTGATGGAAAATGATTCATTGGAGGAACAATTAGTAGAATCTGGTTTCTAGGTAGACATTGGAAACCATGACACAGAAAAAAAAATAAAAAGATGCTGAATTTTTGCTTTCAAAGCCAGAGGAGAAAGATAACATTTTTATTGTATTTGTTTCCAAGTGATCACAATATAGAATGTTATTTTCTGACAATGCAAATATATAGTCATAATCACATGTCTATCTAGTTGTTTATCATTGTATCAGACATATACAAAAAGGAATAATGGTTCTTTTTACATCACATGTGTGTGCACACAGAAATCTTTAATACTTCATATAATTTATACATATATTTCATTTTAATTTTGACACACAGACATTCTTACTCTATGAAGAAAAATACTGTCAAGCCAATTAAAAGAAAAATAATGCAGATCTTTCAGTCTGTCTTTTTATGGATTGTAAATTAATTGTTAGCCCTCATTGCACAAAATGCAAGTTATTAAAAAATTAATGCCAACTCTCCATAACACTTTAACCTCTAACTCAGGGTTAAAGTCAGACTTGGGCCATGGAGGTTAATGCATTTTCACTGTACCGCTGAATTAAAGGGTGTGCTTGAATAGTCAAGGTCCCTGGTAGTGTTTGAAAGAAGCAATTAAAGGTGGGTGTTTGATGATGTCAAACAAACTTTGAGCCCTCTGACAGGCTTCTGAGTAGTCTCACTGAGATGCAAGCTCCTGGGAGCTTGTCTGCAGCAACTACACAAAAGGAAAAGTAGGTGATGGAGTGTGCCTGCACATTAATCGTTTTTTAAAGCGCTTGGTTAAGGATAAAAGGAGACAGACAGAAAAGATATGAAACACTCATGACCAGAAAAGGCATTTAAAGTTAAAAGAATAAAAATGAATGTGGTGATGATGATGGTGACAGAAGACTAAGTTTTAGCAATGATATTTGGGCTTTTGATATTGCTTTTGATAAAGTCCAAAATGAAAACGTTGTTCTTTTTCTGTAAGATGACTGTATTTAAAGGGAGATAAAAATGTGTTTTACACTACTTTAGTGCAGTCCAGAGAGAGGGTTTCTGTGGGTCATATTCCTTTGTGTCTCACTATTTCTTTTTAGGTACTTAATGCAAGAGGGAAAAAAAAATAGCACTTTTTTTGTTCAGAACATGAACACTATGTTCTGGAAGTCCAGCTAATTGGTAACTAAATGTATCTTTTGAGAAGTAGAGTATTCCAATACTCATTAAAACATACCTACCACAGCTAATGTCAGACTTACATCTCTACACAATGACAAGGAGATGCAGTTAAGAAGCATTACCTACATACTCTTCTGTTAGCATCTGCACATAATAACAAGTGCTACATTGTAGTTCAACAGCTATAATAAAATGCAAATTCTTTACTCTTTCACAGACCATATTCAAATGAACATCCCATTAAAATCCAACCTTGGCTCATTATATTTAGTTTGTGAGTGATGCTTCTTAAATGCAAAGATTTCTAATGACTATAATGTGTGCACAGCCACATTTGAAAGAATGGTTCTTTCTACATGGCTCTCCCTCATCATCTGTCTGTATAATAGAAGACAATTGTGTGGAGATATTATGGCCCAGAATGATGTGCCAGAGCAATTTGAGAAACTTAAGTTAAACTACATGACATTTAAAATCAATTAAAATAGTGGATTGGCAATGTCGTGCATGATTTACCTGAGAATCAATTATGGAAGGTTGAGTCATCAATATCCTTACATTTTGAACCCAGCAGATACTGTATTCCAAGAACTCCCATATTTCAACAACAATCAGGTTCATTCATCACAAAATTTTAATTCTGCATGGTCAGATTTGTTTTATTCTATGTTGTCCTCAGTTTCTCTTCCCAATCTTCTTTGTTTCATCCCTAAAGTAATGTGAATGAATATTGTTTACAATGTAAGCTTGCAGAACTCAACTAAGGGAGGAATTTTGAGGTACATCTTTTGCTGATCTTGGGGGTTTTAATCAAGACATAGTCACAGAATTTTCTGCCTCTTCCATTTGTAAAATGTAAGATTTTATTATATTGATTATATTAACAATGATTGTATTAACAATTTCTAAAAGTCTTTGTCATTCTTAATGTATAAAACAAAACATTTTAAGTGATTGATGAAATGGCAATTTTTAAGTGTGTTTGAAAAAGAACTATGTATTAGATTATTTTTCTAGTTGGTCCTTTTCAACTCCAAATTGCATTGATTTCATTGGTATTCTTTTGTTTCTGTTTTTTTAATGAGACAACTTTATTTCATTCACTATCTCACAGCTGCAATTTAACATCTGAGTACCAGTCTCTCTCTTTTTTTTTTAAGATTTATTTATTTTTATACAAGAGCTGGGGTACAGGCCAGAGGCGCGAGAGGGTGAGAGGATTCACCAGAAACAGAGTGGGGAGCAGAACAGGCAGACGGACCTAAGACACTGCTGAGGGGAGCAGCGGGCGAGACAGGAGAGGTCTCATGCGCCATGTGGGATTCTAGCCAGTCGGCCAGGATCAAACTGCACTGCAGAGGCGGCAGACAGCTTCACAGCGCGGCGCTTAAGCCGCTGTGCTACCGGGAAGGCCCTGAGTACCAGTCCCTTTAAAGGAAAATAACTTAGATTTCCGTTAAACAGTTTCCTTCATTTTTCACCGTCTCTAAACAAAAGAGGAACGGTTGGTCCCTTATTGTCTCAGTGTTTATTTACTCCTGGGTGCATTTAATCTACTGAAATATAGTTCACAGGAGATGAATTCTGAAAAATTCTGTCCTGAGTATGTAGCTAGAGTAGTGAAGTATCACCATAAGCTCTAGTTAAACAAGTTCTACATGGAGGGAGGAGTGAAAAACAAATTTTACCAAGTAACATTTAATAATAGAAATATAATAAAAAAATCATTAAATCAGTATCATGAATAATATAACATTATGAGTTTATTTTAATATTTTATGATGCTTGTGCTTGACATTAATGTACCATTTGGACAGCCAAATGATATGTCGCATTTTAAGAAATTAAATTTTATATGCTTGATGTTGAGTAATTAGTCTACAAATTAATTAAAGTGATTGAATTCTCTTGCTTTTGTATACGCTAGATTTCTGATACTGGCACTTACACCTGTGTGGCTACTAGTTCAAGTGGGGAGACTTCCTGGAGTGCTGTGCTAGATGTGACAGGTGAGTACTTGGTGAATTATCCCTTTAGAAGAAATCTGATGTCCATTTTAGTGATTAGTTCACTATCAAGTCACAAATTAAGGAAAGACTAAGATTATAAATTAATTGAAGTAAGCTCTCTCCTGCCTCCTTTTAATTCTGTCCTTGGCACATAGCATTGTTTACGTGCAATTTGATGTATTTGTCCTTGATAACCTTACTATTTTATCTTCTCTATCTAGAGAGCAAACAATTCTAGTGAAGGCTTATAAGAGTCAATACTTACTAGCACATAGGGAAAGCAAATATTCACTAATATATTTTTAATTCATTGCGATGAATTATTCCCATCATACTCCCATTGACTATCACACTTCTTTTAAAAGCATTGTTGTCAATTTATGCAATCAAAAATTAATCCTTTTCTGTTTGTCCTCTATAGAATCTGGAGCAACAATCAGTAAAAATTATGATTTAAATGACCTGCCAGGGCCACCATCCAAACCACAGGTCACTGATGTTACTAAGAACAGTGTCACCTTGTCCTGGCAACCAGGTACCCCTGGTACCCTACCAGCAAGTGCATATATCATTGAGGCTTTCAGGTATGGGAGAGTTTTGTTTTTTTCCACTGGGCTTCTTGCTTTAGCTCCTATATCTCAAAATCCCATATGAGCTATCTTGCTGTTTTATTTTAAGGACTTGTCTAAATCAGTACATTTTAAGAATTTATATTTTATGTCTGACTTTATTCAAAGAATTTAGTGGAATATTTTCATTGATAATTTAATTATAAGATTAAATAGGTATTGTCTATACATAAGTCTCTAGAGATCTAGTTAATGACACAATCATTGAATACTATTTTTTTTTTTACTGTCACCATTATAGAAACTTAAGATGAGAATTTTGGCATTAGAACTCATAAAAAAAGCATAAGCACTTTTAAATTATGTGACTTTTATTGAGGCATGGAACTGGAATTTTGTTTCTAATAATTAGAACAGAATTCAAAATAATTTCAGTGACTTATTTTATATAACTGAATTCATCTACTGGATAGTTCTAAGATAAAGTTAAAAACCATAATTAGTAAATAGATTCCGGGCTCATCTGGTTATTGAAAAGAAAATATATGTCCATTTGCTATTTGAAATAACTATCAGCAATTTAGGGATAGAAATATAATTAAGCAAATATTATCATAAATAGTCTTATGAGAATTTGACAAAATACTTGTATGAATGGGGAAATGTAGCTTGATATTCACTTTTCATGGGCTTCTATTGTCATTGTAAAGATGGTGATAGTGACTGTCCATTTCAAGCATCAGGATAAGTTGTAACTTTCATTTGAGGCTTTCCCTAATCTGTTATATTTTTCAAACTTCAAAATACTATTCTTCTATAATTTTCATTCTTTGATGCATTAGAACTTAAAAAAAATAAATGTACAGCCTTGAAAAATCACATTTTCTCCTCATTCTGAACAAAAGAAACATTGGACCTTAGACAAAAGTGCTCTAAACTTGTATCCCATCTGTGACTGGCCGTTAGGGTCTACACATGCAGTCAGCGATATTTCACCATTTTGAGATGAGAAATCACAATACTGTGTAATGTACAATTTTATTAAAAATGTGACCAAGGGAAAATATTCATTACATGCTTCCTTTCTTCTTTTACAGATATGTAGTTTAGAAGGCTCTATTGTAATATTGCATGTGGAATTGATGCAAAAGAAAACACACCTTGTAACAGGAAAATGTATTGGCATAATTTACTCTGTAGTCCATTTATTCTTTCTACAGGTTAATTCTTTTCAAGGTATATATATACATTTACGAGGACCATATTTATTGTATAAACTTGATGTTGTGATCTTGGCCCCTGTTCCTTTTACAGGTATTCATTTAGTGGGCTGCTGTGCATTAGCAAAGGGCTGTCACATCTCCTGGGCTGAGTTTAATTTTGTTGTGCATGGCACTCTGTTAGGTGGGCTCGGCTTTGTTGTTGAATAAACTGAAATCATCCAAATGTTTCATTTATTGGGCTGAACACTTCAAGTTTTGTCTGTGTGTGTGTTTAATTTTCAGCCATTAACCTTTGTCATTGATACCCAACTCCATGTCCAATGCATTTTTGACTGGACCTTACAGTATTTTCTGTTCACGTTTCAGCCAATCGGTGAGCAATAGCTGGCAGACAGTGGCAAACCATGTAAAGACCTCCCTCTACACAGTCAGAGGACTGCGGCCCAATACAATCTATTTATTCATGGTCAGAGCTATCAACCCCCAAGGTCTCAGTGACCCAAGCCCTATGTCAGATCCGGTGCGCACACAAGGTAAATGCGATAGTTACAAGCATGACTGATTCTGGAGGGAAGCATTAAACAGATCTTTAAGAACAAAGGGATTGTATGAGGAAAGATAAAACTGTGTTTATGTTTCTTTTTTGTGATAATTCACTAGACTCGATCCAGTGAGTGAGAAGGAAATTTGTTATTTATCTTGATGAAGTATGCCCTCTTTCTGGAGCTCTCAGAGATTATTAAATAAAAATAACCAAAATAGTTGGGTACATTTACATAGTTAAGTGTGAGTCCACTGAGTTATTACTTGACTAGATTTCAGATGGAGGAAAAATGTTTCTCCTTCTTTGACATTATTTATACAATAGCAAAGTGATCTTTCATGGAAAAGATGCCATTATAGAGATAGCAACATTACTTCATATGCAGGAATTCTGTTTTTCAATGTTGTGGGTATCTAGGTGTGGTTTCCCCAGAAGCATCAGCTGCATCATCTTGGACCATTTTAGAAATACATATTCTCATTCCCCCGTTCAGGAGCTCTGTGGGTGCAACAGTCAGTGTTAAGATGCCCTCCAGGTGAGGCTGATGCTTAAGTTTGAGAAGCATCACTATAGTGTGTCTTATTAAGCCAGGTGTTTAAAGGGAAAATTTGTTCAGAGAGCAAGGCATATAACTCTCTTGACTAATAATAAAGAAAATAAAAATGCCTAGAATATTATGAGATAAAATTGGAAGGTTTGCTCTTCTCATCTTTAGTGCAAACAGAGAAGTCACTGGTATCTAAGTGTTAATATGCAATGTTCCATTATAATTCTCCTACTAGTATGTAGGTGAAGGGAATTAATAAAGCAGAAATAGTGCTTTGTTATTTGTTACAACCTATTCCCACCGGGTTTTTGTGAAAGGGTTAATTATTTCTTATTTGGAAAGTGCTTTGAACAAGATATAATTCAAAGTAGTATTTTTATACTATGAAAAGCACCATGCAGCCATAAAATATTATTATAATTACAATGTAGTTCAGTGATAGTTACTAGCATGCTATTATAACAGAAGGGCTCCTTCAAGGAATCAAGTGAAATAAAGTCACCACGTGATTTCGTAACGTTGCTGACATGATGACAGTCGAGGGAGGCGGGAATGCCACTTGGCTATTGTTCTCTAAGCAGTAATGTGATTAATTTTCCATGATGATAAAGGGCCTGTAGGTAAAGAACCTGTCTCCAGAGAAAGAAAAAGTACAACATGGAATTTGAAGACGTGAAACTGGTTATATTTTACTTTGCCTGGATCCAATTGCGTTTACTGTGTCTGAATTTAATGAGTAAATTAATTTAATGAACTTGGAAAAGGAAGAGGTATATGGTTTCAAGCAAGAAATTATAATGCCTAGATTGTTTTTACCTGTGTGAACAGAAACAGTTTTTGTGTGTGTGTGTGTACCTGCAGGAGAAGATGGTGGGCTAATAGAACAGGGACGACTTTTGGTGTGATTAAATCCAACAGATCTTCTTGATCATTCAATAATGAGGCCAGTAACTAAATCTTGACTCAAAATAACTTCTCGGTGAAAAGGTCAAAAAAGATTAATGAAAAGTTGTTTGTGATCTGGCTTGTTCCAGTTGAGAGACTCTGTAGAACAAAAGACTTGTGTTTTCTTAACCGATATTTAATAGGAAAACTCATGTTTTGTGTCTAAATGTCAGGATCACTTTTTGACACCACACTTTCAACAGTTTTCCATTCCACAGAGTACTTCTTTTCAAAGAACACTTAGCTGTGTGAGCTTTTATTTTTCAAAGACATGAAATAACACAAAAATTAGAAATAATTCATTTTTGTAAGGCAGTAAATACCTGTACCATCAATCTCATTTAGACCATAGATATATTAGGAAAGGTTAATATTATTCATATATTATTTTTTCCTAAATCAGGTGAAACTTTGATTTACTATTTATGCTAAAGATTAAATAAGAAAGTGAAACTGGAAATAGTCACCAAAATGAGGTTCCCAATTATTTAGGTCCCAATTTAAATTAGTGCATCCAAGTTAATTTATGGCTGAGGTATGTGCTTTAAAATATCTTTGTAAGAGTGTTACATTCTGACCTGAAACAATGAGAAAATCAAGATTAAGAAAATAAATCATTTTAAATTGGAATCCTTCCTTAAAGAGTTAAGTGAGAAAAAATATTTACCTTAACATTACAATGCTCAAGTTAAAGATGTTAATTTGAATATATGTGAAATTCAGTGTTTGATATCAATATGACAGACTTGGATGACTACAGTTTATTATTTTTCCTTAATTGACACATGAGATGCCAGCCATTTTATAGAAAGAGTAGTACTTTGGTGAATAAGCAGACACAATAATGTACAACTGAGAATATATCTACCCAAACATCTCCTTTCTCCTTCCTCCTCCCTCTATCGTTTTCATAAATCAGCTGCATTGCCTTTTGTTAGATATTAGAGTGTTGTTCAGAAAGCGTTACTTGAAAATCTTTTATCAGTATTCAACATTTATTTTGCTCAAAAAATATTTAAAGAATTTTAGGGTCTTCCCCTCTCTCCCTCTCTTTGTTTACCTTTAGTGACATAATTTACATCCCAGTTTCCCTGATTATTTTTACCTCATTCTCCAAGATTGAACTAGGTCACAGAATAGGAACACACATTCTAGTAATGGGAACAAGGACTTAAACAAATTCCTAAATAGGAATTTTCAGAGATGGTGCCATTAACTACTTGGTAAAGTCTTTCAGTGTGCCAACATCAATATAAAACTGGTGTTTCCAGAGACATTTTACAGCACCTCTTAATTCTTTAATAAGAAAACATTAGCTCTTCCACAACAATAGATTTGAATGGGGGTGAGGGATTGCAAATACTGTTTTATTAATATTATTTTTGTGATGATAAATGTCTCTCAAATAATATAGTAGCATGGTGGTATGTATATAAATTATTTAATATTTTTGTCACAAGGGGTTATTTTTTTCTCTGTAATTATCCTTTAGGGTATAATATTGGCTTATAGCATATCATTGGAATTTTAATATGAATTTTTAAAAGCTTGGAATGATTATCTATCCATAGATATCAGTCCACCAGCACAAGGGGTGGACCACAGACAAGTCCAGAAGGAACTGGGAGATGTAATTGTCCGTCTTCATACCCCAGTGGTGTTGACTCCCACCACTGTTCAAGTCACATGGACGGTAAGTTTTCACAGGTTGTGTAAGTGGTAGGTTTTGTTTTTTCATTCATGTAAGAAAATGAACCAAAAAAAAGGAAAAAGCAAATTTTGAAAAGCCAAAAATACTAATAAACCTCCCACCACTTAAAACTCTGATATAATCAATGACAAAAGGGGGGAAATATTCATAAGAGTAAATGGAATGAGTAAATGGATTAATCACAAAATAAATATGACATGTTCTAACTTCTGACTTTTTTAGCAGATGTAATGAGATATAATTAACATACCAGAGTCAATATATGCAAGTTGGCAGAATTGTTCAGTCTTCACCAAAACCTAATTTTAGAGCATTTCTTCATCCAAAATGAAACTCTCTGACACCGTTAGAACTCACTCTCTTATTCTCTCTAATTTGGCCCTTCGCACTACAAATCTAATTTCTTTATACTTACCTGTTTTTTTTCATATAAGAGGAAGCATGTCCTATGTAGAGTGTTTTGTCTGGTTTCTTTCACTCAGCAGAGTGTTTTTGAGATTCATAGAAGTGGTAGCATGTATTAATAATTTATTCCTTTTTACCACCAAGTAACAACCCATTGAATGGTTTTTATTTTTGACTGTTATGATTGACAGTTTCATAAACATTTGTGTACAAGGCTTTGAGTAAACAAGGTTCATTTCTCTTGATATATTCCTACAAATAGCTGAATACTACAGTTCTCTATTTCAGATTTTAATGAACTTCTGATATTAAAATATTTGTTCCAAAGTAATCATACAATTTTATGTTCCCCAAACATTTAAAAGCCCCAGTTTCTTTCATATCTTGCCGATTTCTGTCACCAACACTTGTTATTGACTGTCTTTTTGGTGATAGCCCAGTCTAGTAGTGTAAAATGAGGAATCATTATGGTTTTCAGTTCCATTTATTTTAATGACTAGTGATATTTTGCATTTTCTATGTGCTTAGTGAGTAATTGTATGTCTTTAATAGAAAAATTTTTATTCACAGTGTCTTTTCACTTTTTAATTAGTTTTTTTTTTTCTTATAGATTTGTAAGAGTTTTTTAAATAGTCAGGATACAAATCTCTTATCAGATGTATGACTTGATTTACAAATGCTTTCTCCCAATCTTTGGGTTATTTTTCACTTTCTTGATGGTGTCATTTGAAACACAAAGTGTTTTAATTTTGATGTTTTGCGCTGCATTAAATCAACCACCTTTACATTCTTTTAACTAAACTCATTCAGCAACTCCAAAATGTTTATAATTTTTATAATTTGACTTAAAAATTAGTGGATTTTAACAAGTAAATTGCTATTTTAATATAATATAAAAAATGGTAAACGCCATACAAGGTTAGATTTCAACCTGTCCACCATTATTTTAAAATGCAGAATGCTTTGATCACATGATAGCTCCTGCAGAGAAAACAAACATAGCATAAAAATAGTCAGATTTGTCATACTAGAGACTTGTGTATGTGTTTGTGTGCATCTCCTATGCCTGTGTGTTGAGAGGAGCCAGATAATGTTCTTCCTTTTGCCTAACACAGTCAGTACCAACTTCTCTTTATGCCCATGCTCTCTCCATGATAACCTTTAAAAATCCTTAAGGAAATATATCACCATGATACAATAGTACATCTTCTTTAACCCTCTGTGTGTGTGGCAGATCATGTATATTCTATAAATAATGGACATTTAAGATAAAAATAACTAGAAAATTTTCATTTCAATTATGTTACTTAGAATATATTTATATATTTCCATCATTATTGTCATTTTTGTTGCATTAGAGGAAAAACTCTAAGTCAACAAAATTAGGGTTTTCCCCATGTGGCATCCAAGTTTCTTTAGGGAAATAACTATATTACCCATTCCCATCAACTCTTTTTTTTTTTTTTTAAATTTATTTATTTATTTATTTAATAATAAATTTTATTTTTATATTCCCCATACAATTGCAGCCCCCCCATTCTGACCCCAATCTCTCCCCTCCCACCCCCGCCCTCTTAAAAGTGTCTCTGGTTCGTAGTTTTTTGTTGATTTTGATTTTCACTTTCTTATAGTTATTCGTTTTCCTGGTCCCTTATTTAAGTTTTCTAGATTCCTGCTATGAGTGAGACCATCCGGTATTTTTCTTTTTCTTTTTGGCTTATTTCGCTGAGCATGATCCCTTCCAGTGCCATCCATGTTGCTGCAAATTGCATGTGTTTATCTTTTTTGAATGCTGAGTAATATTCCATGGTATATATGTACCACATCTTCTTGATCCAGTCATCTATTTTTGGGCATTTGGGTTGTTTCCAAAGCTTAGCTATTGTAAACAGTGCTGCTATAAACATAGGGGTGCAGGTGCTCTTTGGAATTGATGTTTCTGTGTCCTTTGGGTAAATACCTAGGAGTGGAATTGCTGGATCATATGGAAGCTCTATGTTTAGTAGGTCCAGAAATCTCCACACAGCTCTCCACAGTGGTTGGACCAGTTTGCACTCCCACCAACAGTGCACAAGAGTTCCTTTTTCTCCACATCCTCGCCAACATTTGTTGTTGCTAGTTTTTTTAATATGTGCCATTCTCACTGGTGTAAGATGGTATCTCATGGTAGTTTTGATTTGCATTTCCCTGATGACAAGTGATGTTGAACATTTTTTCATATGCCTGTTGGCCATTTGCATTTCCTCTTCAGAGAAGTTTCTTTTTAGCTCTTCTGCCCATTTTTTGACTGGATTATTTTCTTTGTTGTTGTTGAGTCTCATCAGCTCTTTGAAGATTTTTGTGATCAGTCCTTTATCATTACTGTTGGGTGCAAAAATGTTCTCCCAGTTGGTGGGGTTTCTCTTTGTTTTTGTTATTGTCTCTTTTGCTGTGCAGAAGCTCTTTAATTTGATGTAGTCCCAGCTGTTTATCTTTGTCTTCACTATCACTGCTTTGGGTGATGTGTCTGTAAAGATGTCTTTGATGTGCAAATCCCGTAGTGTTTCGCCTATATTTCCTTCTATGTATTTTATGGTTTCAGGTCTTATGTCTAGTTCTTTAATCCATTTTGAGTTGATTTTTGTGTATGGTGTGAGGTAGTGGTCAAGCTTCATTCTTTTGCATGTAGCAACCCAGTTTTCCCAGCACCATTTATTGAACAAACTTTCTTTGCTCCAATGCATAGTCTTTGCTCCTTTGTCAAAGATTAGTTGACCATAAATCTGTGGGTTTATTTCTGGATTTTCTATTCGATTCCATTGGTCTGTATGTCTGTTCTTGTTCCAATATCATGCAGTTTTGATGATTATGGCTTTGTAGTAGAGTTTGAAGTCTGGGAGTGTGATGCCTCCATTCCCTTCTTTTTTTTTTCAGGAGAGCTTTGGCTATTCGGGGTTTTTGGTGATTCCATATGAATTTCATCAATAATTGTTCTATTTCTTTGAAGAATGACATTGAAATTTTGATTGGAATAGCATTGAATCTGTATATTGCTTTTGGGAGGATGGCCATTTTAATAATGTTTATTCTTCCAATCCATGAGCAGGGGATGTCTTTCCATTTCTGTGTGTCTTCTTGTATTTCTTTCAATAGTGTTTTATAGTTTTCTTTGTATGGGTCCTTTACCTCTTTTGTTAGATTTATTCCCAAGTATTTGATTTTTTTTTTGTTTCGATAGAAAACGGGATGGTTTTTTTGATTTCTTCTTCTTCAGATTTATTGTTTGTGTATAGGAAGGCTACTGAATTTTGCGTGTTGATTTTGTATCCTGCCACTTTACTGAACTGATTGGTGAGTTGAATTAGTTTTTCTGTGGACTTTTTGGGGTTCTCTATGTATATTATCATATCATCTGCAAATAGTGATAGTTTGACTTCTTCTTTTCCTATTTGGATTCCTTGGATGTCTTTCTCTTGTCTTATTGCTCTGGCTAGGACTTCCAGTATTATATTGAAAAGCAGTGGTGAGAGTGGACATCCTTGTCTTGTTCCAGATCTTAATGGAATTGCTTTCAGCTTTTCACCATTGAGAATGATACTGGCTGTTGGCTTGTCATAGATGGCCTTTATGATGTTGAGGTATGTTCCTTGTATCCCAAGAATTTCAAGGGCTTTTATCATGAATGGGTGTTGCACTTTGTCGAAAGCTTTCTCAGCATCTATTGATATTATCATATGGTTTTTATATTTCTTTTTGTTGATGTGTTGGATAACGTTGATTGATTTTCGGATGTTAAACCATCCTTGTGTCCCTGGAATGAATCCTACTTGGTCGTGGTGAATTATCTTATGGATACATTGTTGGATTCTGATAGCTAAAATTTTATTGAGGATTTTTGCATCAGTGTTCATTAGGGAGATTGGCCTGTAGTTTTCCTTTTTTGTGTTGTCCTTGTTCGGTTTTGGTATTAGTGTAATGTTGGCTTCATAGAACAACATTTGGTATTGTTTGGTATTGTCCCTTCCTTCTCAATTTTTTGGAAGAGTTTGTGAAGGATAGGCACTAATTCGTCTCTGAATGTTTGGTAGAATTCATTTGTAAATCCATCAGGTCCTGGGCTTTTGTTTTTGGGGAGGTTTCTGATTACCATTTCAATTTCGCTGCTTGTAATTGGTCTGTTTAGGTGTTCTATTTCTTCTTTATCTAGCTTTGGGTGATTGTAGAGTTGTAGGAATTTGTCCATCTCCTCTAGATTGTTAAACTTGTTTCCATATAACTGTTCATAGTAGTTACTGATTATTCTTTTGATTTCTGCTGTGTCCGTTGTGATTTCTCCTCTTTCATTGATGATCCTGTTTATTTGTGCTTTCTCCCTTTTTTCCTTTGTGAGCCTGGCTAGGGGTTTGTCTATTTTATTGATTTTTTCAAAGAACCAGCTCTTGGTTTCATTGATCTTTTGGATTGTTTTTTTAGTTTCAATTTCATTTATTTCTGCTTTGGTTTTTATTATTTCTTTTCTTCTACTGGTTTTGGGGTTTTTTGTTGTTCTTTTTCTAGATCTTTGAGCTTCGAGATTAGGTTGTTTCTTTGAGTTCTTT